GGGTCGCACGGGCGGGCCGAGACGAGCGGATCGATCGGGCGGGCGGGGCCCCGACGGGCAGGGTCGGGCCGGGCAGACCCGCACGCGCGGGCTGGGCGGGCGGGCCCGAGGGGGCGGGCCGGGCGGGCGGGCTGGGCAGGCAAGAGGGGCGGGTCCCAGCGGCCACGCGCAGCCCGGGGGTGGGCATGCGGGGAAGGCCTGGGGTAAGCCTCGGGGCAGGGCCCTGGGAAGGGCCAGCGTCGGGCCGGGGGCTGTGGGTCTGGGATCACCGCATGCAGGCCCAGGGTAAGCCCTGGGGGATGGCGTAGGGCAGGCCTTGGGCAGGCAAAGGGAAAAAAGCCCAGGGCAGGCCCGTGCGAGCCTTGGGGAATCTGTGTCGGGGAACAGGCTAAGGAAAAAAGCTTGGGGTGAGGCCCAGGTGGAGGGCGCAGGGCATGTCTGGGGGAGGCCCAAAGGGACGCCCGGGGTAGGCCTGCGGGTAGGGCTGGGGAAGGCCTCCCTCCCAGATCCACTATGAGCTATAGATAAGCGTCCGTGTGGCGCTCGTCAACCCAGACTTGACGAGCGAGCTTTCCAGACGGAGTGGGCGCGTCCTCAGGTCCCGGGCCCACTCCTCTAAGCTTCAATCCTCACTTCTCAAGAGTCTTTCAGGGGCCCGGACCCCTCGCTCTCAAACCTTCCGGGGCTTCCCGCGTGCCCCTCTGGGCGTTGCCAAGTGGTGGCGCGCGAAGTGTTCGGGCCCAGGAGGGCCCCAAGACGGGCCAGGAGGGCCCCAAGCAGCCTGCAAGACGGCCCATAGAGGGCCCCGAGACACCTTAAGATCGGCCCAGTACGCCCAAGATGACCTCAAGATGGCCCAAGAGGCCTCCAAGACGCCCCAAGAGGCCTCCAAGAGGCTTCCCAAGAGCCTCGAGAGGCAACAACCATTGATTTCCCGTAAATGTTTGAGGTATGTTGGCGTTCTCGCCTTTTCGGCTTTCCGGCGCTCCAAGACGGCCCAAGAGGGTCCTGAGACCACCCCAAAACGGCCCAAAGGCCTCCAAGAGGGCCCCAATTCTGCCTAAGAGCACCCCAAGACGGCCCAAGAGAGGCGCAAGACGGCCCAAGAAGGCCCCCAGACTGCCCCCAAAGGGGCTCAAGCGAGGGAGCACGAATCGAAAATCCTAGCCTTCTGCCCCAAGAGGCCCTCAGGAGACCCCAAGAGGCGCCCAGGATGCCCAAAGAGACTCCCAGGGGGACACCAAGAGACCCAAAGAGTCCCCAAGAAGGGCCAAAAGTTGCCCGAAGATGCCCCCAAACGGACCACAAGAGGCCTCCGAACTGCCTCCAAGAGGCCCCGGAGAGGCCTCCCACGAGATCCCAAAGAACATCCAATAGGCTTCATACTCACAACCCAGGCAGGGTGGCGGGATGGGCCGAAGGCCTTTGGATCCGCCGCCCCCTGTCGATGCATCGCAGGGGTGCCTGGCGTGCTGGACCTCTCGGTTTTGGTTTTGGTTCTTTTTCCAAAAGAACTCTCCCAATGGGTTTCGGCCCGTCCCGCCGGGGTACAGGGAGGATTGCCCAGGAGCGCAAACTCCACCAAAAATCTTCCCTGAAACGGCCGTTTCGCTCGGGACATCCTCAATAAATCGCGAAGATGGCCCAAGATGGCCTCCAAGTCCGCCCAAGATGGTCCAAGACGGCCTCCAAGACGGCCCAAGAGAGTCCAAGACGGCCCAAGACGGCCCAAGAGGCCCCCCAGAGGCCTCCCAGACGGCCCAAGAGGCCTCCAAGAGGTCCTCCAGGAGGGCCCGAAGAGGCCAAAATCATTGATTTTCCTTAGGTTGTTGAAGGATTTTGGAATTTGCTTCTTCTTGGCATTCCGACGGCTCAAGACGGCCCAAGAGGCCCCCAAGATCGCCCAAGAGGCCCCCAAGAGGGCCCCAAGATGGCCCAAGTGGCCTCCAAGATGGCCCCAAGACGGCCCCACGGCCCAAGAGGCCTCCAACACGCCCAAGATGGCCTCCAAGACGGCCCCGAAGGGCCCCAATAGGGTCACCCGTTGGCCCAGAAAGGCCCCCAAGACGGCTCCCGACGGCATCAGACGTGCCAGGAACCCACCAAGATGGCCGAAGTTGGCTCGAAGCTGGCCCAAGACGGCCCAAGAGGCCCCCTAAGAGGGCCTGCAGGAAGGCCAGAAGAGGCCAAAAACATTGATTTTCCTGCGGTTTTTGACGGATTGTGGCATCTCCTTTTTTTCGGCCTTCCGACGGCCCGAGACGGCCCAAGAGCCCCCAAAGATCGCCGAAAGATCGCCCAAGAGGCCTCCAAGACGGCCAAGATGACCTTCAAGATGCCCACGTGTTCCCCGAAGGCTTTCCAAACCGATTCGGGGAACACATGGTCCGATGGCTTGGCAGGTCTGGCCTCAACGTTCGGCCACATAGGCGCTTTCAAAAAGGCAGGGGGCGGCGGTGGTTCGCCGCAGGCGTCTTCGATCCGCCGCCCACTGTTGATTCATCACAGGGGTGCCTGGCGTGCTAGACCCTCTCGGTTTTGGTTTTGGTTCTTTTTCCAAGAGAACTCCCCCTGGGGCTTCGTCACGTCCCGCCGGCCACCCGAAAGAGGTGGTTGCAAACGGCTTTCCTGGCCCAGACGGCCCCATGGCCTCCAAGACGGCCAAGATGCCCCCAAGACGGCCAAGATGGCCTCCAAGACGGCTAAGACTGCCCAGAAGGCCCGCCGGAGGCCTCCAAGACGGCCCAAGAGCCCTCCGAGACGTCCTCCAGGAAAGCCGAAAGCTCGGAAACCACTTAGTCCGATAGCTCGCCCGACTCCGTGTTCCCCGAAGGCTTTCGAAACCCACTCGGGGAACGCGTGGCCCGATAGCTTGGCCAAGCTCAAACCCAACGTTCGGCCACGCAGGCGCTTCCAAAAAGGCAGGGGGCGGCGGTGATTCGCCGTAGGCGTCTTCGAGAACTACCTCGGGCGCATTGCCAAGAATTTGCTCCCAGGGCAGGAAGATGCGGCCTTGTCTGGCAAGCAACGCCACCTCAGCGCGCTGCCGCTCTTCGCCCTGGCAAGATCTTCCAAGCTTTTGGAAGAGTCGATCGAGCCGGCTGCAAATCGCCCGCACGACAGGCACCTGCTCCGACAGCCGAGTTCGAGCTCCAAGCTTCGCTCGCGCAAGTGGGCCAACCAACGCCGCATGACATCAACGTACCCAGGAAGTGGTTTCCCGCCATGCCGTGAACCTAGGCTGGCCAGGACCCAAGCCCAGGTAAGCTGTATGAATGCCCACACTGTGTCCCAGCAGCGTGGCCGATATTCGGCCGCTGCCTGGGCCTCTCACGGAGGAGGGGAATGAGGAGCACGAGGAGGAGGACGACGACGACATCGACGACGAGGATGAGTAGGAGAACGAGGGGCCATGCCACATGCCACCCCGATCTGTCTCCCCATTGTCCTAACACGTCCTCGCTCTTGGAGACGGCCGGCAGCATGCCGTCGATTGGCTCTGACACAGCATAGTGGTCTCGGCCTTCAGTGGGCCTCGTGGCACGGAGCCTGTTGGCCAGGACGCCGAAGGCCACCGAGACAAGCTCTGCGCTCCTATCGTAAGTCTGGCCCCAAGGCAGCGGCAGCCCGCTCGCGCCACGAGGCTCACACGCGCCGCACGCGTGGGCGTGCGGCCACGGGCATGACTTCTTCGCGTCGCCTGCGCCGAGTGGGAGATAGTGGACGGAGTAGCGCGCGATGTAACACATGATCAGAGATACGAATACAGAGCCAGCGCACAGGAGTCCAGGCGAGGGAACTGCACGGGGGCGGGGGCTGGAGTACCCCCAAAAACGTCAGAGATTCGCAGTTACGGGCTGAACACTCAACTCTGGCAAAAGAAAAGAGGTCAGCCTCCAGTTTGGCCCACTCGGCAGTCGAAGCCAGATTGGCTCGCGCCATGCCCGCTGTTACGGCAGGCCAGACCCACCGCCCCTCCTATTCATGGACGTGTTACAGATGACGCGCAGCATTGATGCACCGCATAATCGAAGCACGAGCAGCGAGCAGAAGCGGCAGCACTTGAGGAGGAGGAGGACAAGGACGAGGAGAGTGAAAGAGAGAGAGGCAGGGCTATAACAAGCACACCCGCGGAGCTCAGCGACGCACTGCAGGACGCGCGCGCGCGCAAGGCGGCCGACGATCGGCCGAGCGCAGCGGGTCGGGCACGGCGTCGGCGTCGGAATCGCCGGCAAGATCCCGCGCAGTGCGCGCAGCAGGGCCCCTCGCAAGACCAGCCACAGAATCAGCCTGACCCTAAGGTTCTGGCGTCTCAACGTTTTCGCGCCGGGCGTTTTCGCCCGGTCTCGGGTCCCCCGACCGTCACAGATCGACCAAGCTCGAAAGATGCTGCAGAGAGATGGGGCCCAGGGCTCCGGCCGAGTTGTTCTACGATGTTGGGCTGTCTCCGCAGCGTCGGCTCTCAGGGGAGGTCGAACTCTGCACGGTCACCTTCGCTTCAGCCGCACACCGCGTCAGCCGAGCAGGCCGAGAGCCGCTTCGCCATCCAGCCTGCGCCAGGAAGCTGGAGCACACACGCACACACACACACACACACACTCACACACACACACGCAAACACACACACACACACACACTCACTTATTTTTGACGTCGCGACCCCGCGCGCGGCGACGGGGCGTAGAAAATCGGGTGCAGGCAGTGAAGCGCGCGCGTCTACACCACGCACACGCACACGCGCAACCACACACACACGCACACACGGCTGGACCCTGAGAGCCGACGCTGCGAAAAAAAAACAATATCGCAAAACGGACAACAAAAAAAAAAAAAAAAAAAAACTCGACCAGAGCCATGGGCCCCAGCTCTCTGCGGCATCCTTTGAGCTGGGTCGATCTGTGATGGCCCGCGGCACAGAGACCAGGCGGAACCGCCCCGCGCGAGAAAATTTAAGACGCCAGAAATAGGGGGAAAACAAACCTACCTCGCTTTCGACCACCCTCGTTTCCAAGAGATACCAAACGATGCCAAACCACGGCCTGTGCTGGTCAGGCCGCTTGACGAGGAGGCGCAAGGTACGACTTGGTTCTGCCTGGAAGCGAAAGCGGGGTAGGTAATTCACGCTCTGAGGAAACCCAGGGGATTGAAATGTGGAACCGGTGGCTGCCGCGCGACTTTGAGCAGCCGTCACGCCTGGGCAGAAGAGGTGCCCGCGGCGACCAGGAAGGCCACCGCGGCCACCGACAGCTGCGCGGAGCCCGGAGCCTGCGAATTCACTGTTGGCGGCAATGCCAATACGGTGGTGGTCACCGTCACCGTCGGGACAGTCGTTGTCGTCGCCGTGGGACCGGCGATGGCTGTGGCTGTGGTACCAGAAGTGGTGACCGCCGTGACAACGGCTGTGGCTTGCGAAACTGTTGTGACAGTGCTCCTCGCGAACGTGTCAGAAACACTGGCCACTCGGCCCACGGGCATGGTGTAGCCGTTACTGTCCACCGGCGCCACCATAAGGCCCTCCGCGCCAGTTGGAACTGGCACGCTCACGAACGAAATGGAGTACTTGGAGGCATCGCAGCCACAACTGGCTTTCACGTTCTCCGAATCGTCGCTCGGCTTCAAGGCGATCCCCGTGGGCGTGCTGTCGATGATGACGCCATCCGCGCCGACCCAATACACCTCGTACCCCTGGACGTCAATCTGATTGATCTCGCCATGGATCATGTTCGGGCCAAACGTGAGCTCAAATGTCACAGAGTTCTCCGCCATGTCTGTGTCCATGCCGAGGACCATGTCGCAGACCTGGCAAACAACTTGCGGGAGCGCCTGATGCAGGCTGTACCACTGCGGGTTGCCGTCCACGGTCTCCCACACCGCGGCGCGGTCGGCCACACTGTTGCCGGCCGGGCATGTCATCGACAGGCTGCCCGCGTACTCGACGCACGGGCTGGCCTCCACGTAGAACTTGTCGGACATGTCTGTCGCCATCGGGTCGAAGGTCTGCGTGCAAGGTACCCCAGGCATGATCTTTCCAGGGACGTCGCTGGCAGCGAAAGTGCAACCAGTGAAGAAGGTCATGGCACATACATCGCACCCCATGACTGTGGCGGGCGAGTCAGCAGCCGTCGACGTGGCAGTGGTGCTGGTAAGGGTGATCGACCTGGCAGCTTCAGTTCCGCCAGTGGTCGATGTGGGAGTGGTCGACGTGAGAGTAGTGGTGGCTCCGCCAGTGGTCGATGTGGCAGTGGTCGACGTGAGAGTGGTGGTAGTTCCGCCAAAAGTCGACGTGGCAGTGGTCGACGTGAGAGTGGTGGTTTTGGTAGTGGTCGTTGCGGCAGCGGCAGCGGCGCGAGCGATCGACGTGGCAGCGCCGCTTCCGCCAGTGGTCGTAATCGTGTGAATGAGGATCGTAGCAATTGTCAATGTTATCGTCGCTGCTGGCTCAGTCGTGGACGACCCAGTGACGGAGGACGCCGAGTTGTTGGTAGTTGTACTCACCGAAGTACTCGTTGGCGAAGTGCTGGTCGAGGCGTCGGCAGCCGAGGTGTCGGCAGTGGCCGTCGAAGTCGCAATGGCGGTAGACTTGACTGTAGCAGTGCACTCACCGATGGGATCCGCAGGGTAGAGGTACGCGGCCATCGGCGGGCATTCGCTGTCATCGTCCAAAGACAGCAGACCCACCTCGACCCCTTGGGGCAACGAATAACTGCTTACACTTGTATTTGCCAGACCCTCCACAACCAGAACAATCATAACGTGGGTCCCGCGGATGTCGACGCTATTCAGCTCTACGGTGTAATGGTCCTCGACGCAGCAACCGTCGGTGGTTGTGGGGGCATAGGCGTCCACGTTCACGTAGGCAATGAGATCTGCCTTCGCGCCATCTCCGTACGTCCAGTACAGCTCGTACCCGATCACCATCGACTCGGTCACTGATCCTCTGAGCTGGTTCTGGCCAAACGTGAGCTTGCCCGTGTACACAAAGGCCTGGGGGGCCGAGTCGACAGTGAGGACTGGAGTGCCGCACACTCTGCACAACACCTCGGGGTAGCTGCCCGACGACAACTCCGGCGCCTGTTCTTGACTCGTTCCGCTAGGGCACGTGAGCACGGGGAAATCCTGGCTGACGCACTGCGTCTCCATAGGGATGCCGACGCACGTCTCTCCCGCACCGAGAAATTCGCAATTCTGCAGCGGGTGCAGGCCGCAAGTAGTGCAGAACCCAACAGGCTCCGTAGGGGTGGATTCAGTGGTTGACGTAGGAGTTGTACTCGTGAGGGTCTGTGTCGTCGTGGTCACAAGAGTGGAAGACGTAGAGGCCGTGGTCGGCGATGTGGTAGTATGAAAGGTGGAAGTCACGGATGATGAAGACAAAGAGGTCGAGCTGAGCGCTGGCGTTGGAGCTGACGTCGGTGCTTGTGTAGGCGCTGGAGTTGGTGACGGCGTTGGTGCCAGCGTTGAGGCCAGCGTCGGTGCTAGTGTAGGCGCTGGCGTTGGCGCCAGCGTAGACAATGGCGTGGGCGCTGGCGTAGGCGCTGGCAGTGTCGGCGAGGACCCCGTTGTGGCAGAACTCGCAGTCGTCGAGGATTTAGTACTGCTCGAGGTCTTCGAGGTGGTGGACCGCGTCGTGCTGGAACTGGCAGTCGCCGAGGTCGCGGTAGTGCTCGAAGTCTTCGAGGTCGTGGACCGCGTCGTGCTGGAACTCGCAATTGTTGAGGACACGGTAGAGCTCGAAACGTCCGAGGCCGTAAACCGCGTCGTACTGGAACTCGCAGTCGTCGAGGACTCGGTAGTGCTCGAAGTGTCCGAGGCCGTGGACCGCGTCGTGCTGGAATTCGCAATCGTCGAGGACTCGGTAGTACTAGAAGAGTCCGAGGTCGTGAACCGCATCGCACTGGAACTCGCAGTCGTCGAGAACTCGGTAGTGCTCGAAGTGTCCGAGGTCGTAGACCGCGTCGTGCTGGGACTCGCAGTCGTCGAGAATTCGGTAGAGCTCGAAACATCCGATGTCGTGAACCGAGTCGTGCTAGAATTCGCAGTCGTCGGGGACACAGTAGAGCTAGAAGTGCCTGAGGTCGTGGACCACGTCGTGGTGGAACTCGCAGTCGCCGAGGTCGCGGTAGTGCTCGAAGTCTTCGAGGTCGAAGACCGCGGCCTGCTGGGACTCGCAGTCGTCGAGGATTTAGTACTGCTCGAGGTCTTCGAGGTGGTGGACCGCGTCGTGCTGGAACTCGCAATGGTTGAGGACATGGTAGAGCTCGAAACGTCCGAGGCCGTAAACCGCGTCGTACTGGAACTCGCAGTCGCCGAGGTCGCGGTAGTGCTCGAAGTCTTCGAGGTCGTGGACCGCGTCGCGCTGGGACTCGCAGTCGTCGAGGACGCTGTAGTGCTCGAAGACTTCGAGATAGTGGACCGCGTCGTGTTAGAAGACACGGTCGCGCTGGAAGTTTCTGAGGCCGTGGACCGCGTCGTGCTGGAACTCGCAGTGGCCGAGGACATGGTAGTGCTGGAACTCTCAGAGGTCGAGGACGGGGTGCTGCTGGAGCTCTCAGAACTTTCAGTTATGGAACTTAAAGAACTAGTTTTCGTCTCTGTTGTGGTGGGACTCGCAGAGCTGGTCATCTTGCTGGTGGTGGTCAAACTTGCTAAGATTGAGAATGTGGTTTGTGTGCGTGTTGTCTCTGCGATTGTACCAGTCACGGCCGTAATGGAAATCGATGTATCAGTTGTTTGACTCGATAAACTTGCAGTGGTACTCGAAGTCGTTGTCACCGCTGATTCCGATTCTGTGGTCGACGATTTTGTGATTGACGACTTTGTTGTGGAGGTACTCGAAGCCGTTATTGTTGTGCACAGCGGGGCCGATGAAAGTAGCGGCATGTTTGCGTAGGTGCACTGTGCGTCCAAGGACAAAAAACGTCGGCCGTCTAATATCCTTTCGTTGGCCCAAGCCGGCACACCGTACTCGGTCCCCTGTGCGCTGGCAGAGAAGGCGCAAGATATGCCAAGCATCAAGGCCAGACACCGAAGAGTAATGGCATGGCCGATGATACTTGAAATGCTGACGCCGCCAGCGCTCGAAAGACACCGAATCCGAACCATGTGTCTCAACCGAAATGGCTACTGGCAGATACGACCGTGATGCTAATGGGCGGGCAGGACTCAGGGAGCCGCGGTTCGAGTGACCGATACAATAAATGATGATGGTGGTGATGATGATAATGAGGATGGTGGTGATGATGGTGATGCTGCTGGGGACGACGATGCTGAATTTGATGTTGATTGTGATGATGGTGACGGTAATGGCGGCGGGGACAAACACTGCGAGGAAAATGCCATGACGACGATGGAAAACCAGATAATGGTGACGGTGGAGACGACAAGGATGTCAAAGACACAGCAGCGCTTCCGCTGCAAAGTTTGAAGGGTTTCTTAAGCTATGCATGGCAACGTTGGGGAGCTACTGCTGTTGCCCGACGCCATCAATGGCAAGCGCACAACAATCATGAAATACTTGCGCGGGGGACGTCTGTTAGCACGCGCGGGCCAAAAAAAAAACAGTGGGTTTCTAGCAATAGATGTTGAGCAATCAATGTGGAGCAATCTATGTGGTCCAATATGTGTGGCGCAACCTACGTGGTGCAAGTCACCCTGCCAAACGTGAAGTTGCCAACTCCACCGTTCGCGCACCAGCACACCCGCCCACCCGCAACTTGGTTTGCAAAACCCCTGCGGCGGCGATTGCGATGAGTGCTTGGCGTTGGCTGGTGCGTCCCTGCGGCCGCGCTACCCCGCGCATGTTCGCGCGCGGAGCGGCCAGTTGTTTTGGCGCGATCGACGCGGCCGCGGTGACCGTTGGGCACTTCCCGGCGGGCACCTCAATGCGAACCGGCGACTTGGACGGGCGCGAAAGCATGGCAACGTCGACAACGGAAGGCACGATGATGGTGGTAGCGATGCTGGTGACAATGATGACAACGACGACGGCAAGGCCAATGACGGCGCCGATGCTGATCACGCCGACGACGATGTCGGCGTCCCCGCGTCGGCGATGAAAGTTTTGGAGGGAATTCGACATGCGCGCGCGGCCGACGCGCGAGAATGGCCCGCATGATATTATTTAAAACGGATCGCGCCCCAGGCCCAGCACGCGCGAAAGGGCACTCGAATGATTTCGGCATGCGGCGCGGATACCTTTTTTGGTTGAAGCGAATGAACATGTTGTACGTTATGGTTTTCTTCAGAATTCGCAGGAGCGCGGGCGCAGGCACTTTTGAAAACTGATGCTGCAAAACCGCGCGTTCGTAATATATGTCGGGGCGCTCGGCTCTGATATCTTGCGACACCTCGGGTTTTTGATGGATTTGGGCACGCGCGCGCGACAACGCGCGCGCGTGCACTTCGTCGCGTTTTTTTGCAAAGGAGTCTTGCGACATCACGCGCGCAAGGACGTTCGTGCGATATCGACCTGCGCGAACAAAAACACCCATTTGGTAGAATTCTACGGAAAGTTTGAAACCATGTGGTTCTCTGAAGGATTCCTAGGGGCCCGAACGCAAGCTGGTAATTTCTGTTCGACCACCATCTTTATAGCAAAACGCATGCTTTAAATTTTGAAATCCTTGCAAAAACCTTGCGAAACCTTGCGAAACCTGAGTTTTTAACGGGTGCCAGCACGCGTGCGCGACGACGCGCGCGCGTGCACTCGCGCTGTTTCTTGCAAAGCGATTCTTGGAAACGGATGGTTGTTGATGAACGAATGTGAACGGGAGGGCGATACCGGCCTGCCTGGGATGGTACGAACTGATATCTAGGATGGACAATGGGGCTGAACCATATGTACCTTGCAACACGAAAAAAAAAACGACATTTCCGAGATTTCCCCCCAGGACGACGTCCCCTCCCTTCCTGCCTGCGGTCCAGCAGGGGCGGCGGCGGCCGCGGGCCTCTTCACGGCCTTTCAGGCCTCGCCGCAGACCTCCATGGAGCCGCAGGTATCCCTGTCCAGGATGATGCTGTGTTTCATCTTGGCCTTGCTGTCCATGCGCGAGGGCTCGATGCCGTCGTGCTTGTCCTGGTCGCTCTTCTCAATATGCTGATACGTCAGTCAGTGCTGCCGTCGTGCACTCAGTGCTGAGCTGCGTCAGTCGGCGCTGGTAGCGTCAGTCTGTGCTGCGTAGTGTCAGTCAGTGCTCGGTGCCGTCGCGGTCCTTGCACTTCTTGATATTGCTGGAGTCGTGGTTGTGTTTGTCGGCTGTTCGTTAGCGTGCTTTCTTCTTGCCCTTACCACATAGTCGGCCCGTGACTTAGGTGGAGGTGGTGCACACTCCTGTGCTTCGCCACGCTGCCGCATTTGTAGCAGTAGTACCCTTGGTCTCGCTTGTGCCATTCCATATGGTGGGAGTGGTGTGCTTGGCGTCCATTGAGAGTTAGTGGTGGTTTCTTTGCTGTCGCCGTGATGCTGCATGGGGAGAGAAGCCACCACCTTGCTTTTGTTCTTCGTCGTCGGAGGACAGACTGCGCGCATGCTCCGCAGCGCCATCCCGTCGGAGTCGGTTGTACTTGGTGCAAGCTCTGTGTTGCCAGCTCGTCGAGAGTTGGTGCTGGTGGTCTTCGCAATGTGGCGTCTCTCCTTAGTTTGGCCCGATCTTCCCAATTCATTGGTGGTCGTCGTTCCATGCAGTCCAGGGTGGCTTGTGTGATACGCTGTCTGACCAGGTTGCCGACCGCTCGCACCCACTCGTAGCATCCGAGCTGTGCTGCAGGTATGGCGTGCTCTTCTGCTGCTGCGTCGGCTTGTACGTCCGCTGCTCTGTTGCCGAGCCACGCCCATTCTGGGATATCTCTTCGCCGAGCGTCTTCCCATTCGAGGTGGCTTTGCATATGTCTTATCGTGATGGATTCGTCACCTCCCCCCCGATGGTCGATGGCGTCCTTTATCCTCATCCAGATGTCGCCGTTGCCGAAGTGGTATTTTGTTGGTCCTGTGTCGTTTGCGCCTCCAGTTCCTCATCAGTACTTCTGAGTCCGTCCAGTAGATGATGGGACCCTGCGAGTTCTGCAACACACTGAGTAGTGCCCACATCTTCGCTCGGTTGTTCGTCTGTCTTGGTCCTGGCAGTGGACCCGGCATAGTTGCTCGCACAGTCGTGTGGCTCATGCAAGCCCACCCCCATCCGCACCTACGGTACCGTCGGTCTGCTGACATGGCTCCTCCGCTGCCGTCACCGCAGAAGTGTAGTGGAGTGTCGTCTGCGATCAGTTGGCCGTGCTGGATGTCGCCGTAGCAGGTGTGCGAGGGTTCCGTAGTGCATGGTGGTGGACAGGTCATGGGTCGTGGAGTAATGCCTCTGAGCCAGATGGCTGCGTTCGTCTCGATGCCCTCCTTTGCTCGCTCTTTGAGGTGCTCTGTTCGTTCGTATATAATGTGCTGTCGTCTCTGTGGGCAGTCTCCCCAGATGCGGTGGTAGTCGTCGTCAGGCGCTCCACATTCGCATAGGTTGGGCGTGCCGCAGGCGTCTGCGATGCGCTGCCGTGGCCAAGTCCCAGCGCACGCAGCAGCCAAGAGTGCTCCGCGTCGCTGGTGCTTGCCCCGTCGGTCGAGGTGCTGAAGGTGGCTGATGAGGTCTTGCACGTCGGCGCCGTTCTCGGGGCCGCTGCCGTTGTGGTGCTTGCTGGCCTGTCTCCATTGCTGAAGCTCGACCTGGCTGGTCAGCGCGTCAATGACGTCGGTTGGGTCTCCGTGCGCGCCCTCCTCCCTGAGCGGCCACCCGTCGCCCCGGGGGTCAATCCAGTAGTCGGCGCGCTGAGGGTCCCAGCCCAGGTCTTTCAACGTGGCGATGAGTGCGGCAATAATGCCGCGCCTGCGTTGCCATCGTAGTCCATGTGGTTGTTGCTGTAGTCTGGACTTGATCTTCGGCCACGATCGTCGAATACGGTGTCGCATTTCGTAGGATGCTGTCCACATATCAAACCATGCTGTAAATTGTGCTTTAATAGTAGATATCTCAGGATCTGTTCCTTCAACTGCAATGAGGGTTGTCAGGCATCTGCCTGGCCAAGCTCGTCGTAGTGCTCGTGCGTAGTGTCGTCGCGTCTGCAGTCTCTCGTTGGGCGATGCCCCGTGCGCCTTGGCCCCATACAGCAGGGATGCCATGGCCCCTTGGGCTAGCACTCCTCTCATTCTGTGCCGTCTGGCCCTTCTGAAGCGGGTGCGAACCAGGTCCATTCTTGCCCAAGCCTTCTTCTTGCGCGCGTGGTGCGTCCGACGTAGTGTGCATGCACGGCTGCCCCTGTCGATGCCGAGGTCGCGCCCTTCGGTG